TTTTTTTTTAAACTAATTTTGAACAAATGTTGAGTAATTATGGACGTCTCCATTAATTTTATAACATTTTCTGTCGGATTGGATCATTTTTAACTAATTTTTGACATGTTTCAAGTAACTGTGGACACATTTGGAGCGATTTTGGTAATTTTTGAGTTAATTGAGTCATTTTGGATGAATTTTTTTTGACAATTTTAACTGACTTTGGACAATTTTTACCTCATTTTGGATACATTTTGACTCAAATTTGAAAAGTTTAAAATCATTTTGGACAAAACTGAGTCTGTTTATGCAAATTAGAAAACTTCTGAACACATTTCTTATCATTTAGACACGTTTCACTCATTTTGGAAAAACATGAAGTCATTTTGAGGAGTCTTGAGGGACTTTGTACAATTTTTAACTCATTTTAGACAAATTCCAAGTTATTTTGGACAAACTGAGTCCTTTTTCACGAGTCTCAGTCATTTTGGAAAAGTTTTAACTAATTCTGTACAAATTCTGAGTCGACTGGAGAAGTTTGGAGTCATTCTGGACAAACTGTGACTCTGCTGGAGAAGCTGAGTCACATCTATCAGAGTGCTGCTGAAGCTCAGGATCAGGATCCGGTCTCGTCCTCCTACCTGCCCTCGCTGGGCTTGTTCATGAAGCTCCACTTCATGCCGGTGGGGAATCCGGCTCCTCCTCGACCCCGGAGTCCAGAAACCTTGACCTCGTTCAGGATCCAGTCGGAGCCCTTCAGGATGATCTCCTTCGTCTTGTACCAGTCGCCTCGCTTCAGGGCTCCCTTCAGTCTGGGACCCAGAGCACAAGTTTCTATTTAATCTTTAAAGGAACCGGAGAAGCAGACTCACATCTAACGTCTTTACCTCCAGTCGTGGCGTCCGTACAAGTTGGTGAATATCCGGTCCTGGTCGCTCAGAGGACCGAACTGGGTCTTTTTTGGCTTCACCTGCTGAAACAACAGCGTTCTTAGTTCATAACATGATCGAGCAGCCGGTGCTGAGACGGACGTTCTGACCACCAGGCCTTAAACAGGAAACACCTTCACATGAAGAGGACATGTGGTGATAAATGGTGTGTTGTAAAAAAAAATATATATATATAGTAAAATAAATGATATTAAAAAATAATCTGTGTTTTTATGGAGTTCTTTTTTGGTTCACAAATTTTTTTTGTCAATAAATTCACAAAAACAAACTGAATTCACAGCTCAAATGTAAAATAACATTTAAAAAAGGATCAATTAATTATAGAAGATTTTAATATAAACTTATTCGTAAAAGCTCAAATTTCATCCGATCTAAAATTAACTGATGACGACGAGTTCACACATTTCACACATAAATCCATCCATCAAAGATCTGACAAACAGACCAGATGTAATTAATTATGTAGTTCAACATTTATGAATATTTACTGTTTTTTATAACAAAAACCAACTAATAATGACACATTTCTGTAATATTAGGCCTCATTATTTAATATATTATACCAGTAATATCTGTAATTTATCATCTGTAAGACAATAAATCAATAAATGGTGAAAATCATATTTTTATGATGATATGATATATATATGATATTTATTTTATTTATTATATCATATTTTACTTTCATTATGTTCATCTTATTGAATTTCTCTTCTGGGATAAATAAAGTATTTTTCATTTCATAAAAGATTTTGCATCTTTAATTCTTCATGTGCATCATTTTCCCTCAAAATAATGGAAAGAACCTGTAAAATCCTGATTTAAATCCAGCAAAACGGTCTCATGTGTGTGTGCCATTTGTAAAAATACTGATTTTATTGATGTGGATTGTTTTTATTATTTATTACAGTTAATGTTTAGATTCATACTTTGTCTGTTTTTTACCAGATATAATCTGTAATTTACTAAAACAGAAAGAATGTGGAAAATAAAAGCTGAAAACATTTATTTAGAGGGTTTTTTGTCCTTAATATTCTGAACAGAAAATATAAAATAATTTAGATTGTTGCTGATTTAAACAGTAAAACTTTAACTTTATGGTCACAAGTTGTAAAAGAACAAAAACACATTTATTCATATACAGAGTTTAACCTGAACTTATGTACAGATCTGGCCTTTTAGTGTGTAGCAGTGTGTGTCTGTGTGTGTATCAGTGTGTGTGTCTGTGTGTGTCTGTATGTGTGTATCAGTGTGTGTGTATCAGTGTGTGTGTCTGTGTGTGTATCAGTGTGTGTATCAGTGTGTGTGTCTGTGTGTGTCTGTGTGTGTGTATCAGTGTGTGTATCAGTGTGTGTCTGTGTACAAATGTGTGTGTATGTGTCTGTCATGTCAGTGTGTACACGTGTATGAGTGTGTGTGTGTGTACATGTCTATGTTCTGTCTGTGTGTATACATGTGTGTATTTTGTGTCTTGTTGTGTGTCTTGTTGTGTGTCCACCTGTTGCGCTGCTGCGCTGCTGTAGTTGAGTCTCGGAGCCTGAACGTGTCGCGCCGCGGCGGCCCTCAGGACCCGCAGCAGCATCCTGGAGGAGGCCGGAGTCGGTCCGGAGTCGGTCCGGAGTCGGTCCGCTTTCAGGCCGGAGTCGGTCCGCCCGGTCCACTCGGCTCCTCTCCCCGCAGCGGCTCCTCCGGAGGTCTGTATTCGGAGTTCGGTGCTGCAGCTTCAGCGGCTTTAAACTAAGCGGCTTACATGACGTCACATCCTGCTGCAGGTGTCAGGCCTTCACGCATGCGTACACCTGCGCAGGTGAATGAGAGGTCAGGTCAGATCATCTCGAGTCCACATGCTCAGCTGTAAATGGATTATTAATGTGGAAAGAGAGGAGCAGGAAGGCTCCATCTGGTCTGCTCCAGGATTCACTGGTTTCACTGGTTTCACTGGTTTCAACCCACAAACTAAAGGTTTTAATTTACATGTTGATCATAAATCAGGTCAAACTGTCAGTAACGTCCACATCAGAGATGTGTGTTCTTATAAATGTTCTCTGACAACATTAAAGGAAATCACATCTTTTTACTGGATTTAAAGAGAAAAACAGATTTTATTACGACAGATTTACATCATTTGAGATTTTTTTTAAAATGTGTATGTTAATAATTTAAAATAATTTTTAACTGTTAGTTTTGCAGTTTCCCTGATTTGTTCAGTTACAGAAAATAATCACAGATGAAAGTTTAAATTCACACATTAAGTATAAAACAAACAAGAAACAGGACAAAACTGAACATCGTGTCCTCATCAAACATTCAATTCTTATTTATTTTAATCCATTAATTTAAAATTTATTTTCCTGCGTGTAAATCAGGAACAAACAGTTATTTTTACTGATTTTTGTCATTATTTAAGAGACAATTTAACGATATTAAGGTTGAAAAATGTAAAATAACTTACTTACAGGTTTTCCATGTTTTGTTAAATTACAGATCAGTGAAAATAAATGTACATGTTCATTTGTAAATAATAACCTGTAAATAACGTCCACGTCTAAAATCTGTCTTTTCACAAACACTGACTTGTTCCTTTACAGTGTGTGACCTTAAAATCATTGTTTTACTGGATTTTAATTATCTATAGATATTCCTATTTTCAGGATCGTCGCCATAACTTTGACAGTTTTGAAGTTTTTAAGTGTTAAAATATTCCACTGTGTTTACACGAGTCCGGCCTCCTGCTCAGCTGCTTCCAGGGTTTGGTTTTTTTTTAACAGTTTTGGTGTTTTTATTTATTGATTTTTTATTTTTTTTTTACAGCGTTTGTTCACAGTTTCCAACAGAAAACCTCCAAACAAGCTCCAGCTCCTCACCTGACATCACTGCACATCCACAGGTGAACCACCAGGTCCTGGACTGTGGCTGGAGGCCAACAGCAGCCTGCAGCGCTGAACACACCTGAGCAGGTTAGCATGTTAGCATGTTAGCTCTGCCAAGGTTTAAAGCTGTAAAATAAACCACACGCAGTAAACAGCAGCCAGCGCTTCAGCTCAGTGCTGCTCAGGAAGGACTGATCCCAGAGTGAAGCTGACACACCTGAGCTGAGGCTCCTCAACAGGTGAGCTGCTCTCACCTTGATTGGTCAACGTGCTCCTGGGTCCTAGTGTCCACCTGCTATACCAGAACCACTGGAGGGATACAAAACGTTTCCTCAAGAAGCAGCAGTGAGTTCCTGAATGTGGTTCTACTTCAAATCATCATATTGAAGGAAGTTTTCTGCTTGACCATCAGAAAATACGGATATTTATAAAATACATTTGGGAAATTTTACATTGATATAGAAAATACTGTCTGAGATTTTTATTTTAAATTTCCAGTCGACCCGCGTTCAGCAGGTTTATTCTAACACTGAGATCTGAGTCTGTCTGAACAACAACATCTAGTAAAGATAAAACCTGGAGTGTTCTGTTAGTTCTCATCCTGTCACTGATCCAGAACCTGTAGATCAATAATCTGATTATAGATTAGTTAAAATATGAAAAACACTGAAGTTGTCGTGAAAAGTTCCATCTCTGAGCTCATGAACTAAAACCTGATGCTTCAGAAGAGAACCAGTGATGTGTTCTGACCCACATGTAGCTGCAGGTCACAGGAACACAGACTACCCGACCCATGAACTATCCTCTAGCTCACGGGTGTCGACATCTGGTCCTGGAGGGCCGCAATCCTGCAAGTTTTAGATGTTTCCTTCTTCCAACACACCTGATTCAAATGATCAGCTCATCATCAAGCTCTGCAGAAGCCTGATAACCATCCTGATCATTTGGATCAGGTGTGTTGGAAGAAGGAAACATCTAAAACTTGCAGGATTGCGGCCCTCGAGGACCGGAGTTCGAGACCCCTGCTCTAGCTGAACAAGCCTCTGAGCCAATCACTGCCATCAGGTGTTTCTGTAGCTCTCAGTCAGACTTCTGCACCTGTTGACAGGTGTTCTGGTCCACTGATCATCAGCAAAGGCCTCTCATTGGTCCACCAGTTTTAAAATTTTTTTTTAAAAATTATTCTTTTCACCCACAATTCAAAACAACATCTTATTTCACTAAATTATAATTTAGTAAATTTTTATTTATTATTACTTTTTCCAGTTTCCAGTTATTTGAGGGACTGTTGTGGGTTTTGTCTTTTCTTTAATGGGAGGAGATGAATAGATCTGAGGATGACTGTAAATAAATGGTGTGCTATTACACAGTTTGTCCACCAGGGAGCACACGTTGTTCTCCAGCAGGAAAACACCACATGTCAAAGCCCAACTCTTTAATTCAGTTATTAGAAGTTTTTTAAATGTATTTTTCTGTTGAAACTCTTTCTGCTGTAGCTTCTGATCCCAACAACCGTCTGATCATCAACGAGTCCAACAACAACAGAGCAGCGACACGGAGAAGGCAAGCTTAGATATCTTTATTTATTGTCTTTACATGAACTGAAACAAATCATGGGAAAATGAATTCATATCTCTGAGAAGGTCCACTAAAAACTGAAAGACAAAAATGTATCCCTGATAGCGGGGTCTCTAGTCGGACCGAACCCCGAGTCCCTTCACCGAAGCCGAGCGAACACACTTCACAGCTGGCATCAGTTCACCCTCATTCACTCACTCATTCACCAAGCTCTGACCGGGAGCAGCGGCGCGCTCCCTGCACAGAACCGACCGGTACCGTCCGTTCTCTGCCTTCGATTCAATACAAAACCTATGAAACCTAGCGCGTGGACGTACCGGCGCCACGTGTGCAGGAAGAGCGTCGAGGCCCGGCAGCACCAGACTCCCCGGTTTAGATTCTGTTAATCACTTAGTGCATTGCTCAAGATTTCCTGAGAATAGTTGCAGCACAAAAAAACAAAAAACTAAGGCAACTTCATCCCAATATATATTCATATATATATATATTATATTTAGCTATAACTCTACTACGCAGGAGGAAGTACGTGGGTTCCAAAGAAGTCTATTCAATCATAATTTTAAACAAGTTAATGGACTAAAGTCAGACGAAGAGAAGAAGAAAAGAAGCTCGAAGCTCTTAAATCTCATAGTGCAAATAAAATGGAAGTTAAAAAAGATCTGCTACATGATGAAGAGCGGATAGCGCACGCAAGGCCCGACCCATTCAACACAGATTCAGAGCGTTGCGGCCGGGTTCGGAGGGAAATGCTGAAGTTTTTTTGGTCAAACTGAAAAGAGCAACGGCCCCGAGCGTGAGCGATACAGTACTGTGCATGTGGAGCCGCCATCAGCAGCTCCGGGTGGAATGTGCCTGTTTTACTGCAGAACCTGACGGGTTTACAATGTGCAAAAGAGTGCATTCGAGGAAGAACCGCCCTAAAGAAGACACTCGAGCCTGTAAAGAGGCAGAAAGAGCAAAAAAAAAAAAAACCTTTAGCGCAATGCAGCTCCCTGTAAGATCTGAATCCAGACGCTGGATTGTGTCTCACAAAGCAGCAGAAGAGCCTCAATAAATATCAATAAATAAATAAATACAGAGGAAGGGGAACGCCGCCGCCGCCGCCGCCGCGCGTTAACCCCGTTTACTTTGATTTGTTTTGTCCAAACAAAAGAGCCCAAATGAGTGCATCGGAAGACTGAATCCACAGCTTCTGGGAAATAAAAATGAAAAGAAAAAAAAAAAGGAAATTGTCTTCAACATAACTTTGATCCAGACTTTTTTTTTTTTTTTGGTCTGAACACTCAGATCATGGCTTCTTTCGTAAACAGCCGAGACGAAGCTCCTCTTCGAACCCAGCGTTGGCTACAGCTCACCGCCCTCTCCTCAAGGTTCAAGAAAACATCTTTGGTTCAAGCACCAAATCAAAGCAGAGACTCTACAGCTAGTCGATCAGATTATTGCTAAATGACGCACAGTTTGATTGATCAGACTGCGATTCCACCGCCGACCACCAGAGGGCGGCGTTCGCGTGGCCTCGCTGCGTCTTTAGTTTGCATAGTGAGAAGCGTCCCAGTAACCAACCACACACTCGACACACAGCAGCGAGAAGAAAGAGATCAAACCTACAATAACTGCAAACGAGGAATAAAATGAAATCAAACAACCAGAACATTTAAAATATCTCTGAAACCCGTTTTACATTTTTTTGTCTTTTCTGTTGAAGCGCTCTACGCGGCGCTGCAGAGTCCAACCACCTGAGTTTGATTTTTACTGTGGATGCTTCACCACACTCGCTATTCTTCTTCTTCTGCTTCTTCTTCCTCTCTGTTGTCCTCCTCCACCTCGTCCCCCCACCGGTCTCGCTGGGCGGCCGGCGACTGGCTTCTCCTTCCCGGGTCGTCTCCCTCGGACTCCCGGAGCCCCCGCAGGAAGAGCTCCGGGTAGGCGGCCAGCCGCTGGGGCCCGAGCTGGGCCAGGGCCTGCTGCAGCGCCAGGGACCGCTCTCGCTCCAGGTCGAACATCAGCGGCGGACCGGACCCGCCGCCGCCGCCGTCCAGCACCGAGCGGGGCAGGAAGGCGGAGGAGTGGGCCTGGAACGCCTCCAGGGGGTCGGACTGCTCCCTGCGGCCCGTCTCCCCTCGGGGCCGGCGGGTCCGGAGCTCCAGGCAGCTGTGGCCCTTGCGGTGGCGCTGCAGGTGGTCCTCCCGGGCGAACGCCTTGTGGCACAGCGGGCACTCGAAGGGCCGGGTCCCGCTGTGCAGCGACAGGTGGTTCTTCAGGTCGTACGAGTGCAGGAAGCGGGCCGGGCAGTGGGGGCAGGGGTAGGGGCGCTCGCCGGTGTGCTTCCTCATGTGGATCTTCAGCTTATCGTTCCTGAAAACGAGACAAGGCAGAAAATACGATCCGTTTGTGACCAACACATTCAGTTTGTTGTATTTGTAGGAAAATGGTTCCACTTCCCACCTGACCTCCTCAGAACCAGCTGGTTCTGTATCTACAGTAAGTTTAGTGGATTTAATGAAGCTACGTTCACCTTCACACTGACTGTTCTCAGTTACAAACTAAAACTACCACAGTTCCATCATTTCTGAGTCTCAAACCAGGACAGCCGACAGACACGAGACCTTCAAGGACCAAAAACACCAGAACACCAGATCAGCTTTCCATCCATCCAGGAGTCACAACCTGAAGTTCTGGTTTCTGTTCATTTGTCCTCTTCCCCTCGACCTTCCCCGAGCCTGGCTCTGTCGGGTTTTCTTTGGTTCCTTCCACCATCATCGACTGTTTGCTCTGAAAGAATCCAGACTTTGGATTGTTGTGTTCTCGGTTCTTTGTTTGAAATGTGGACGGTCTCCACCGACTATATGAAGTTCTACGAGGTGACGTACGCTGTGGATCGGTGGTTCTGGTACCAACACTCAGCATCAATATCGTGGAAGACATCGTGTTGAACAAAAAGAAGTTTAGTCTTTAAAGTGTGACACCTGGATGGATGTGGAACTGATCTGGTGTCAGGTTCTACCAGAACCCAGATGTGTTCTTCCTCCTAAATGTCATGTGTCTATCTGCTGGACTGATGAAGTTCTGAGGCTCAGAAATGATGGAAGAAGTCCATTAGAGGGATCAATCTGGACCCTCCTCTGTGGACTTGAAGGACCTGGACCTCTGGAACATTCACAGTCTGAAGGTAGAACTCTGATCAGTAGATAAAGGCACTGCAGATACAGAACCAGATGTTCTGAGGAGGTCGGACTGACTCTGACCCAGGACTAGGGTTGCGTACCGGGTGAATCGGACTCCACAGGCGGAGCACTGGAAGGGTTTCTCTCCGGTGTGCGTCCTCATGTGTCGCGGCAGCTTTCCGGCTCCGTGGATGATCTTCTGACAGACCGGACACTGCTGAGGCGTCTGAGACTTCCTCTTCCTGCCGCCTCCCGCCACCGCCGCCGCCGCCGCCGCCGCTCCTCGATCGGCCATGGACGTCGGTAAGGAGGTGTTTCCCATCACGGCGCCGTCGAACGCCTCCATGTCGTCGTCCTCCGACAGCTTGTCGCTGGCGGGCGGCGGTCTGGCGATGCGAGGGCGGTCCTGCAGCCAGTGGGGGTGGCCTCCGTTCAGCGTGGCCCCTCGGACCGCCCTCGGGTCGCCGTTCTGGCCCGGCTGCGGGCGGAGCTCGTCCTGCTCGGGGCTGGGCGGCTGGGTGGAGGGCAGCGACCGGAGGCTGTCGGACGCCGGTGACGGGTGGGAGACGGGCGACGCCGGCAGCAGGCTGAGCGGCGAGCAGCTGATGTGGTGCTGCCCGACCTTCTTCACCTTCTTTCTGTCCGTTTTCCTCCTGGAGAGTTTCTCCACGCCGACGTCGCCCGACACCATCCTCTCTGCGACGCCGCGCTGGCCGCCCTGCTGCTCCGCCTCCTCCTCCGCCTCCACCGTCTCCCCCAGGATGTCGCGGCAGGCGTCGGCCACGCACTGGATGCCCAGCAGCTGCGCCCCCCGCAGGACGTCCCTCATCCCGGAGCTGGGGATGGTCAGCGTGGCCGTGTAGGCGAACTCCAGCAGGGCGTCCAGGGCGTCGGGCGACACGCAGTCCAGCTGGCAGACGCTGGACCCGCCCGCCCCGCCCACGCCGCCGCCCTCCTCCGGCCCAAACAGGCGGCGGAAGTAGAGGCTGACGGCGGCCATGACGGAGCGGTGGGTGGGGTAGCAGGCGCCGCCGGAGGTCAGGGTGAGGTCGCAGAGCAGACCCGTCCTCCGCTGGTCATTGAGGTGGGACAGCAGCTCGTTGCTGTGCTCCGGGAAGGGGATCCCGATCAGACCGTCCTCTCCTGGAGACATCGCCACCTGCAGGACGGAGGAAACGCAGCAGGTCAGCTACCAGCCAGTCACATTTACCGTTTCAGACCACATGTTTAAAAAGCAGCTTGTCCATCTGCAGGAGGGACCGACTGACATGTTTTGGGTTTATTCAGAACCAGTACCGATGCAGATCATTGGTCATGACTAGAATCCTCCGTAACAGTCAGTCGTGATGCTGAGCTGATGTGTGCTGGAGCTGAGCGATGCTGCAACATGCTGCTCTTCCTGTTTTCTTGTTTCTTATATACATATTGCAGAAATACTAAATACTGCAGCGTCATTTTCTTTCTCCAGCATCATGCAGCTCAAACTGCATCTGATGACATGAACACTGTCAGAACCTCTGAACAACTCTGAGGAAGCCTGAACACTTGTTTGGAGCCGTAAAGATGAACTGATTCGTTTTAACTTCTAATAAACGAGTAAACAGAATTTCTGGTTTCAGCTTCTTCAGGATTTTCTGGTTTCTTTCCTCTGTGACACTAAACTGAAGATCTTTGGACAAAACAAGACGTTTGAGGAACTCTGATCCACGTTTTCATCATTCTAGAGACCAAACAGCTGATCGGTTTGTCCAGCAAATAACTGACAATGAAATGAATGATTACCGGCGTTGGAGAAGCAGAAACAGCATCAAGTCACACCGATGACACGTTTCTGTTTCTGACTGGACAATAGAAAAACTGTCTTTTACTAAAAACCAAACCTGTGAAACGTTTTTCAGGATGTGTGTTCAGATGGAAGAACAACGTTTTATTTCTGATGAGCCTCCTGTAATTATTATTGCAGCTTTGTTCTTATTTTGCCTCCTAATGGATGAAATCACAACATTTCAGAATAACTTCAGTTTATTGTTTCACTTGTTTAGAGTTCTGATGATTATTCAGTAAATCTTTAACTATTAAATTTATCTTCTGACAGTTGAGAAGCCAGTTAGAGAACGCTGCTGCTGATATTTTCTGGTTTCTTTCCTCCTCAGCGACAACAAACTGAAGATCTCTGGACTACACAAGACATCTGGCGTCCTGGACGTCATGAAACACTGACAGCTTAAAAAAATAAAAATAAAATCACTTTCTGACGTTAAAGAGACCAAACTGATCAACCTACAAAATGTAAATAGAATCTCAACAGACTCACTGACGGTGGAGAAAACGGTTATTAGCCAGAAACCAGAGAAGCTAATTACCGTAATGTCTGGACTATCAGCTGCTGCTTTGAACGCTGCGGCTTAAACAACGATGCGGCTAATTTATGGATTTTTAGGAATTCACCTGGAGACCAAAGTGAGGCTGAGAGCGACGACGACAGAGAGACTGAGGAAGTGATGAAGTGATTCTGAGGCTGTTCAGCTCCTGAAGACACTGAAGAAGACGACTTTAGTGGTTTTAGTGCAGGAGGAAGATGAAGACAGCCATCAGTGACTTTTCCTGGTAGCTGCTGGAGTTTTATTTCCTTAACCAGCCGTGTTACAGGAAGTGTTCAGAAAAAAGCCTCTACGGTACGTATCTGTGGATGTTACCGCTACGCATTTAATTAAAGGTTAAAACATCTTTCTGTGTAAATATCTCATGTTCCAACATGGACACCTGCAGCCTGGATATGAACACACCTGGTTTCCTGTTTAAAGTCAGTGGGTGGGGCTTATATTCAGGTGCCCCCATAGTCCAGAGATTACGGTAACACTGACATCAGATGAACATTTGAGCAAAAAAACGGCATTTTTTACAGAAAATGTGTTAAAGTTCTAAACAGTTTCTCTGTTTTTAGATATTAAAGCATCAAAAGACTCCAATAATTTAAATAAAAACATAAATAAAACATTTCTTCACCTCGTAGACAAACTAAAAGTCTGTTTTTTACGACATCAGCAGGAGAATTCACGTCCACGTTTTTCTTTTTTTTTGTTTTAGAAATGAGCATTACTTTATGACTGTATTTGCAGTTTCCAGAACAAGAGCTCAGCCTCCACCTCCTTCAGAGACGAAGCTGAAGGCCCCAAAAGTAAATCTTCAGTAGCGTGACTCAAAGCGGGAGCTTGTTTTCACGTGAAGGACAATTTAAACAGGGCTTATCCTCCCCTCCTCGCCCAGATTAGTGCACCAGGAGGAGGTCTGACCGGCTGGATGAGGGTCGGGGGCGTCCCAGGACGGAGAAATAATCAGTGGACGATATAAAACGCAGTGATCGGTGACGCAGGGAGACACGAGGGTTACGTAAAGCCCTGGAGGTGCTGTAACTGAAGGGCAGGAGGTTAATTCGTGTGTGAAACCTTTATAGCATTAGCCGATTGATTAAAATACCCACAGAAGCAAGCGAGCAGCGGCGGAGGAGGAGGAGGAGGAGGAGGAGGAGGAGGCCGAGCAGCGAGGAGGGAGGAAGTGGCAGCGATGAGTGGGTGAAAGGGGGAGAACCAGAGAGAGAATGAGGAAGGAAAAAGCAGCAGCAGAAGAATTAAACGTTTTAAACATGCAGCAGATATCAGGTGTCGCTTTTACAACTCGGGCTTTGTCAGGTCCGACCGTGGAAGTCGGAACAATACGTTTCTTTATGTGGGTTTGCGTGGAGGCCTGGCGGTGATAAAAGCCAACATGTCCCACCTCCACCTGGTCCACAGGATCCCAAACACACCTGAGACGTCCCACAAAACGTCTTCACCTGCAGATTCCTAAAACTGAGTGTCTGTGCTGCTTGATGCGAAGAGAAACGTTTTTCTAAACTTTACTTAAAAGGAAGAGTTGCAGGCTGCACAAGAGCACAGCGAAGAGGAAGAGGAAGAATAAAGATAGTTGGATGAAAATGTTTCAGCGACAGAAGGAACGATATCGACCAAAAACAGGTTCAGCCGCCACACGAGGAAACCGGTCGTTTTAAATCAGCAAAGCTCTGAACGACGAATGCAAAGTCTGATGATGTGAGACTAGATGCAGGTTTTAAGAGTAATTCTGGAATTCTTGATGCAGACGCAGTCGCCGACAAAATCACAAAACGATTCTGTCCTCATGGAGTCACTCCAGTCATCTGCTGCATTTATATGCATGTGTGTGAATAAAGTCATTTAAAACTGAGTTTCTTGTTGTGATGCAGCTCCACGTGTGCACACGGACGAAAAACTGCAGAAGCAAAAAGAAATCAGCTGTACGGAGCTTTTTCTGAATGAGGCACAAAATGAAGGAGAAGAAACATTTATGTGGCGTCGAGCTTCGTCTGGTCTTTTACCGTCTGGCAGGTCGGACCACTGAGTCTGGAGGGTTTCTTCATCCACATGTGTGCAGAGATGCTACCGTCTGATAGAAGCAGACGTTCTTTTAAACTTTATTTTAAAAGACAGAGTTTGTTGAACGGCGGGTTCCACGTGTTCACGGCAAAGAGGAAGACAGAAGGAACGAAATCAACCAAAAACAGGTTCAGCTGTCGCCACCGCACGAGGAAACTGTGAGTTTTAAACCAGCAAAGTCACATCTGAAGACCAGAAGAGAAATCAGCTTTTTAAAAAACATATTTACATTTCTCATGCAGATGCGCTCGCCTACAAAATCACACCGACGATTCTGGAATGATTCACTCCTTCCTTAGAGAGTCATTCAAGTCATCATATATGTATATCTTCAACATACATGTATGTATATTTAACCTTTGTTTAAAAGACAGTTTGTTGACATCAGAAAGGAAGACGGACGTATTCAGGACGTCTTCACACATCAGAGAAAGGCTCGAAATGGCTTTTTTTCACCCTTTTCAAACTGTTTCTTCAGTTTTGATGCAGCGCCACATGTGCACAGCAAAAAGGAAGATTTGGCTGCAAAAGGAAAGACCGACATGGACCAGAACCAGGTTCACACTGAGCCTTTAGATCAGCAGCACGAAGCCACATCTGAGTGATCGAGACTGTTTCGGATTTCTTTGCCAGAGTTAAACCTTATGAGGAAGCTTCCAAACACCTTCTTCCAAATCACTTCTGATGCAGATGCTCAGAATAAAGAATTAAAACATTTCTCTGGTGTCACTTTTTTACAGCTCAGGTTTATTAACGAGTCGGCAAAACTCCAAAAGTCACCATGAGTGTCTTTATCTGCATCGGTGTCAACGTTTATCTGACAGAACATCACTTACTCTGGTTTTAGGCTTCTTGGAGTTAAATTTTTTATTTTTAACTTTATTTAAAAGGGACAGAGTTTGTTGACATGCAGGCTGCACATGTGCACAGCGAAGAGGAATACTGGACTGCACAGAGCAAAACGAAATCAGTCGTGTGGAAACATTTCAGCTCCAGATCGACTGATACAGACCAGAACAGGTTCAGCAGTTGAGGAACCGGTCGTTTTAAATCAGCAGAACTCTGTGTGACGAACTCAAAGTCAGATCTGATAGAAAAGATCCAAATGTTGGCTTTTTTTGTGGCTGTATCAGAATATTTTTTGAGGTTTTGATGATGCACTCAGCTTCAGAATCCCCCCAGTCTGTCCGGAGTGAAGCCTTCATCTGGTGTCACTTTTCTTTTTTTATTTAAATCCTTGACATGCAGGTGAAACCCTGAGAGTCAAGTTGGGACAATAAGCGTCTTTATCTGTGTAATTGGACCCTGTTCACACTCTACCTGCTCCACTCTCACACCTGAGCGACCAGATTTTCCACAAACAGCTTCGCCCTGCAGATCCTCCCTCCCATAGCAACCGGCAGCCCCCCGGCCGTCCAATGGCAGCGTTCAGACGGCGCCCAGAGGGCTCAGCGCGACAACATCCACCCGACTAACCTGCTCCAAACACACCCTATTAAGCACACAGTCATGGCGTGCCAGGCTGCAGCTCCCCCCACCCACCATTGTTAGATCCGACCTGTTGTGCGACGCTTAACGCGCTCCACCCAGACGGCAACGAGGAACCGTGCAGCCGATTTATTAAACGCAGCTTTAATGCCACACAGAACGCAGCTTCCTCTGCTCATCCAGAGCAGTAAAGTCCTACCTTCCCCATCCTCATGGGCAG